AGATCCCATCTTGGGGCCTGTTCCGGAGCTCCGCCGGAAGAGGGCCGTCATCACGGAGGGCTTCTACATCATCCTAGCCCCTCCGATGAAGTGTGAGTAGTTTACCTCAGACCTTCGGGTCCATAGTTAGTAGCTAGATGGCTTCTTCTCTCTCTTTGAATCTCAATACAAAGTTCTCCCCCTCTCTTGTGGAGATCTATTCGATGTAATCTTCTTTTTGCGGTGTGTTTGTTGAGACCGATGAATTGTGGGTTTATGATCAAGTCTATCTATGAATAATATTTAAATCTTCTCTAAATTCTTTTATGTATGATTGGTTATCTTTGCAAGTCTCTTCGAATTATCCGTTTGGTTTGACCAACTAGATTGGTAGTTCTTACCATGGGAGAAGTGCTTAGCTTTGGGTTCGATCTTGCGGTGTCCTTACCCAGTGACAGAAGGGGCAACAAGGCACGTATTGTATCGTTGCCATCGAGGATAACAAGATGGGGTTTATTTCATATTGCATGAATTTATCTCTCTACATCATGTCATCTTGCTTAAGGCGTTACTCTGTTTTTAACTTAATACTCTAGATGCATGCTGGATAGCGGTCGATGAGTGGAGTAATAGTAGTAGATGCAAAATTGTTTCGATCTACTTGTCACGGACGTGATGCCTATATACATGATCATGCCTAGATATTCTCATAACTATGCTCAATTCTGTCAATTGCTCAACAGTAATTTGTTCACCCACCGTAGAATACTTATGCTCTTGAGAGAAGCCACTAGTGAAACCTATGGCCCCCGGGTCTATCCTCATCATATCAATCTCCATCACTTTAATCTTGCTTTGCTTTTTTACTTTGCTTTTACTTTTTACTTTGCATCTTTATACCAAAAATACCAAAAATATTATATCTATCAGATCTCACTCTCGTAAGTGACCGTGAAGGGATTGACAACCCCTAATCGTGTTGATTGCGAGTAGCTATCGCTTTGTGCAGGTACGAGGGACTTGAGCGTGGGCTCCTACTGGATTGATACCTTGGTTCTCAAAAACTGAGGGAAATACTTACGCTACTCTGCTACATCATCCCTTCCTTTTCGGGGAAAACCAACGCAAGCTCAAGACGTAGCAGCTGGCTGCCCAATATTTACATTGATTTGCATTCAAACATATTGTCAAATAATATAGTTTTACCGAATAAAAATATTATAGTTTTACAAGCCGGATACAAATAAAAATGTTTCACATAGTTTTGCAAATGAATAAAAGAAGATACATCTACTGGTTGCCAACATGAGCCCACATATGCTCAACCAAATCATTCTGCAGCTGCACATGAGTTTCCCAATCACGCATGTCTTCATGAAATTGGGTGAACTATTCAAATGTTGCTGCTACTCCATGCTCAGGCACAACATTCTCACCCTGAAACTGAAACCCTTGATCGTATAGATGTTCCAGGCGCTCATCCTCTACGATCATATTGTGCATGATCACACAAGCAGTCATCACCTCCCAAAGTTTCTGCGTGCTCCAGGTATTAGCAGGATACCGAACGATGCCCCATCGAGATTGTAAAACACCAAAGACACGCTCGACATCCTTCCTGACACTCTCTTGCTCCTGGGCAAATCTTTTCCTCTTCTCTCAGATAGGGTTGGGTGTTGTCTTGACAATAGTGGTCCACTGAGGATAGATACCGTCACCCAGCTAGTATCCTTTATCGTAGTTGTGTCCGTTGACAGTAAAGTTCACCGGTAGGTTGTTGCCTTCAGCAAGCCTAGCAAACACCGGCGAGCGCTGAAGCACGTTGATATCATTGTGTGATCCAGCCATGCCAAAAAAAGAGTTCCAGATCCAGAGATCTTGAGACGCCACGGCATCTAATATGACAGTGCAAGCCCTGACATGTCCCTTATACTACCCTTGCCAAGCAGAAGGATAGTTCTTCCACTCCCAGTGCATGTAGTCTATGTTGCCAAGCATCCCTGGGAAGCCCCTTCTGGCATTCATCGCCAACAAACGAGCTGTATCTTCAGCTGTCGGCTCTCTCAAGTACTCAGGGCCAAGCACAGCAATAACAGCCTTGTAGAACTTATACAGGGACTCTAGGCATGTAGATTCACTCATACAGACGTACTCGTCAATGAGATCATTGGGCACTCCGTATGCAAGCATTCGGATGGCGGCAGTGCATTTCTGATAAGAGGAGAAACCGATCTTGCCGACGACATCCTCTTTGCACTCGAAATAGTCATCATAGCTGACCACCCCCTCTCTAATATGGTTGAAAAGATGCCTACTCATACGGAAACAGCGGCGGAATTTTTGATATTTGAACAACGGATTTGTTGTATCAAAGTAGTCCTTCCAAAGAAGGAAATGCCCGCTCTCTCGGTTGCGATTCAACGCCGGAAGGTGGCCCAGAATGGAGCCACGAAACAACGGCCGCTGGCTGTTGAGGTGGTGATGGACCAACACGGCAGCCAATATCTCCTCCTCGTCGTTGGACGACGAATCGTCGGAGTCGCAAAGGAAATTGTGGAAAAAGAACTCATCGGCGGAGTCCATTTTCGTACCTTGGCAAACTGTCGAACAGTTTACGAGCGCCCAAGAAGGAGACGGCCGGCGAGGGGAGTCGCAGTGCGCACAGACCAGCTAGCTTCCCTGCCGACGTCCGACAAGTGGGCCAACGTCCGACGAGCATGCCGGTGAGGATCTGGCTGGGGTGGCGAGGCGGCCTCTTGGTCGCGGGCGGCTGTGCGGTTGGGGGGAGGAGCGGCGGTGGGAAACAGTTTGCTCCCCGGCGGCAAGACGGCGGTGAAGGGGGCGACGGGGGGAGTGAGCGGCGTTGCTGGGCGGATGTGGAGGCGGCGGCAGCTGGTAGAGTCGCTGGCAAAAAAGGGCGATGGCGTCGGCGACGAAGGTGGCGGGCGAGGGTTGTTGTTGGCTGGGGATGGGGGGAGGCCAATGAGCCACCGACCAGCGGGCCTGGGGAGAGGAGAAGGTGAGCGTGCGCGCGTCCGTCGCGTGTCCGCGCCAACGCAAATCCGGCTCAAAAATAGGCCGGGAATGGGTCGCCCGCGAACGAAAAGCGGACGCGCGTCCGTTTGGGTCGGCGCGTTGGGCCGACTTTTCTGTCCGGGCCGACCCAAACAGACAACGCCAGACGAAATGGGTCGCTCCATTGGAGTTGTTCTGAGGCTGTTTTTTTAGAGGCAGGCTGAATGGGGAAAGGTATGCAACGCAAATACTGTAGCGCACGGCAACCAAACACGCCACTAGTATTCTTTCAAACAAAAAGGGAAATAAAGGGGCTTCCTAGTACTTCATCCGAGAAAAGTAGAGCACAATTTACGCAAACAGTTAGGATCTCACTCTGTTTTTCCATCACTTTACTTAGCGGATTTTACTCTGTTTTTCCATCACTTTACTTAGCTTCCCACGGAAAAAAGCAACGTTTGTTCTTAAAAAAAGGGAGAAAAATAAAGGAACAACCATCCTCTAATAAATGAGAAATGTAGTCTATTTGGTCCTTTTCATTCCACATATAAGCTCTGTTTCTTCCATGAAGTTTGACTAACTTTATAAAAAATACATCGACATTCACAACACGAAATCACTATTACTACATCGAATTTTAATTTTCATACTGTATAACTTTAATATTGTAGATGTTGATATTTTTGCATATAAATAGTTACTTTACAAAGTTTGACTTTTAAAAAAAATCTTATGTGCACAATATAAAAGACAGGAGGGAGTAAGCAAATAAATGGATCACTAACTGACCAAAGATATGTGTTCTAAAAAAGAAACTGACCAAAAAATATACCGCACCTTTCAAAAAAAAATACTAGCTCAGCGCGCGCGAGCGGTTCAACAAAAAGTACGGATGCCGATCATGCATTAACGACCGGAAGTTCCCTATTATCGGAGATGACCCTATAATTAGGGCAGAGCTACTAAAACCAGGAGCATGTTTTATGGGGCAAAAAAGGAGTATATACGGCAAAACTCTAAAAACACCCTATTTTTGACTGAAATCGGTCACTTTACGAAACCTAACCACCGACCGCCACGATTTTTCAGCAGAAATCTCATCTTTTTTTCCCATTAATTCGGGATGAGATCCTACAATCACGCCCAGCAATGCTCAGCCCGCGATCACCACGAACGGGACTGACCTCTCCCTGGCACGTGGTGGCGTGGGCAGAGGCGCCTGCACGCGCTTATGCAGAGGAAGGGAGGGCTGGAATTGGAAGCTACAAAGACGCTCCGGTCGACCTACGTTACGGACGCGGGATATGATGGACCGGTGATGTTGCGGATTCTGCGGACGCGCGCGCGCGGTGGAAGGCCTTCCCTTCCCACCACCAACGATCTGACTGGATCGGCCGTGGCTCGCCGATCGATGGCAATCGCGATCGCGCTATATTGGCGTAGCGCGGAGGCAGCATTGGCTCCCAACCCGGCCTCGTGCGATGATAACATGGGATCGGCGAGGCGGCTGCCGCTTCTCCTCGTCCCGCATGGAGGAGGAGGAGGCGCGTCGGGAATCTCCCGCTATAAGTACCGTGGGCTCCCACCCCCGCCCACGCGCGCGCGGCTCCCTCAACCAGACCAGACGAGACGCCCCAAGACCCCCGGACGCGACGCCCCTCCTCGATCGATCGCCAGGTGAGCTCTCTCGTTCCGAGGCGGTTGCGCTGCGCGTCTAGCTAGGGTTCTTGGTTTCCGCCGATCGAGTCGAATTTCTCGCCGGATCGATCGATCCCCGGAAAACGTCTTCTCGTTTCCTTTTAGACGGAATCTTTCCGTCGGTACAAATTCGTTTCCTTTTTTTCAGAGAATATTTGCATGCGATCTTGCTTCTTGCTGAACACGATCAAGGATTTTTTTTGATTTGTCGCACGCGTGTGATTTTATTAGGGTTATAAACACCTTATATCCGATCGTTCTTGTAGGCATTACTCTGCGTTTCAGACGACAAGATCGCCGCCGCGGAGATGGCGGGCTACGACGACAATGAAACCAACGTAAGATCAATCTCTCTCTTTCTGTTCGAATACATCCTTAATTTGCCTCTTCATCATTGGAGATCCTAGCACAAACACAGCCGCGACCCGCTAGCCAATGCTAAATTCTGTAATTAGCACTTTCGATAGCAGATTGCATCCTTTAATTCTAACCTAACCCATGCAAACACATATGTGTATCCAGCTAGTGGAGGACGAGTACGACGACCTTGATGATTTCATCGTCGGAAGCGACGATGAGGGCGACAATGTGGCCATGGAGGACGAGGAGGAGCTGCCGGAGGCTGAGGAGGTAGAAGTGGAAGAAGAGTATGAGGAGGAAGAGGAAGAAGAGCTGCCTGCTGGCACGCAGGAAATCCTTTCCTTCAGGGAGCAATTGAAGGCCAAATTAAGGAAACAACATCAGTCTAAAGGCGCCGACTACGGGAACCCTAGCTGCTCGTCGTCCGATCAACCGTCGGTCAGGTCCAGGTGAGTTTTCTCTTGGTCTCTTGTTTTTTATTCTAGCACCCTCTTTCAGTTGTTTAACGGCTTCAGTAATAACTTGTTGCAGATTTGGAACCTTCTTTGGGCCGTCCACGCCAGTACTTGCTCCCCGGCTTATGGAGGCGGGGTGCTCATCGATAATGCAGGAGAACCAGAACCTGCCGTCCAGAGTATGTCCTTCTAATTAAACTCTTTTTGATCCTGAAGTATGTAACTCTTTGAACTGTCTGGTGACTCACCCGAACATCAAAATTGTCTGCAGAAACATGCCGCTCCGTCGTCGGCTTCGAAGACACAGCCAAATGCGAGCGCCCATGAGCAGAAACCCAAGATCGTACCTCAGGTTTGAAGGGTTTGGCTTTGACATTACCACATTAATTAACTTGTTATGCTGTTGAGATGTGAATGAGAATTTGGGTGGTTTGGCATTTGCAGGTGAAACGTAAGGTTGACACGCTTCGTGAGAACAGGGACTACTCGAACTTGTTCTCGGACGATGCCGATACACCTCCCCCAACAGAGGAACGTGCAGAAAATAAGCCTGTCATGGCCCCAAAATCTCGTGAGTATGAACTCGGTAGATCTTTCCATAGTCCTAACTTTTGTGCTTAATTATTTTGACATTATGTATATATATGGTAGACGTCGAAGCTCATCGGATGAAACCAATGCAATCTGCCGCGACAAACAAGAAGGTGCCCACAAACCATCCTGCCAGACCATCAAAAGACCATGGATCCATCCAGAGCCGCGTGCAAAACAAGGTGGTCTCTCAGGTGAAGAAGGAGCCACTGCCAAACGGGAGGAAACCGATTGCTGCTGCCAGGAACGGATCCAGACCGCCCAACGGCACCACCAAAGCTCGTCCAGAGTTGCAGCCATCCTCAAATGGCCAAAACCCGCAGCGCTCGATGCAGAGCAAGAGCCCGCAGACGTTGCCTTCTGCCCAGCGGCAGCAGCAGCGGCCACCGAAACCGCAGGGTCAGAGGCAGCAGAACTGCACCCCTCCTTCGCCGCAAGTTCGAAGGGTGAATTCTAATGTGCAGGGCCAGCAGCCTGCGCACAAGGGTTCTGCTCTGCCTCGGGACAGAACAAAATTAGGGCAGAAGCAGCTGGCTCCTTCCTCCAAACCAAAGGTGACATTTCTTGATTTGTCTCTTGTGCTTTTGCTCTCAGTGCCTTCTTTTTATTTAAAAAATCACACCAATATGATAATATTGGTATCAAGTCTACGGAAATATCACCAGCCATTCAGGAATGCGTATCTGAATCTGTTCCTGCTTGTTTGCAGCCATCTCCAATAAGTGCTGTTTACAGTGATCCTGCTAAGAAAAAGGGTGTAGTGAAGAGGAAACTCAGTGACGCTGAGAAAGTTCGTCAGATGGTCAGAGATGTGTTCAAGTATGGTTTGCTTATTATTATTAACCTAGTCTTTGATATTATTATTACCCTTATTGTTTGTTCATCGACCTCGATCCGGTCGGTGAAGTAGTTCTAGCCCACTAGAGATGAAGCTGAGCAATTTGTGTGGTGCTTCTTCGCTGATTGCTGCTACGTTTGTGCTTATGTGCAGCTACGACCCGGGCAAGTATGGCAAGGATGTCGATGATGATAGGGACATGGAAGCAGGTTATGCCAGCATACAGATGGAGGAGAGAAGAAGGTACGTAACTTATCAAATTGCCTTCTTACCGAAAAGTACAGGCTTGCTTTCTTTTTCATTGCAAACGATGTTTTTGCCTAAACCATGCTGATTTTTCCCTTGCCTTGTTTGCTTTGGACATCCAGTGCAAAGATTGCAAGAAAAGAGGATGAAGAGGAATATCGCCGGATTCAGGAAGAAGAGCAGCGCGAGCGGGCGAAGAAGAAGAAGAAGCAACTTACAGAATCGTAGACAATTCCATGGCCAGATTGTATTACCCTAGTCATATAGTGTTCTTTTATAGCTTGTAAGTTCCAGGACATCAAGTTAAGGACCGCCATATCTCATGAGTACAAGACGAGACTACATTTTGACGGTTCATATTAGTTGCAACATGCACTAGTAGAAAAAGGGTCAAATGTGAAGCACATTAATTTTTAAACAAACATAGATTGAATTGGAATTGTTAAGAAACTATCATGTTCAATTAGAAAACTACCATGGTCAGTACGGCGAAGCGGGGCTCCCCCTAGGGGTCTCGGCGTGGATGTGGGCTGCCACGGCGTGGTGGGCGCTCATGGCGGTAGTTTGGGTCGTTCAAGGCAGTGGCTGGAAATCACCGGGGTCGGCCCGTCGGCGTGCGGCTTGTGCCGACCTTCGATCCTTCTTCTCAGTCATTCGTCTGCTACCTTCATCGATGGTTGGCCCTCCCCCCAGCTGCGGTCCATCACTCGTCTCGCACCAGGCAGCAGGATCGGGCTCGTCTCGTGCCTCGCAGCAGGACTGACCTTGTCTCGCGCCCAGCAGCAGGATCGAGCTCGTCTCGCGCCTGGTGCCGTAGGATGGGGCGATGGAGGCTAGTTTTGACCGGCCTATTGGGTCTCGACATTGGTGGCAGCCTAGGGGTGCGAAAGGCGGGTCCTTTCCGCTCGTGTCGTTGGTTGGGGTAGCGGCGGATCTCAGGTGAGATGGCGGCCCTAGTGGTGGGTTCGCGAGGCTCATGGGCAGAGCCCGTGGCTTGGTGCTGCCCGGTTGCAACGGACGTGTGGGCGGCGTGGTAGCCGGGGTGTGGCGTTCGATGGTGGTGATTGGTGGCCGGGATGAAAATCTGATATATCTTCGAACGAACCAGCGGCGGCGAAGCTCGTTCCCTTCTTGAAGGCGTCGTCGCGGCTCTCATTGCCCGTTGTGTTGCTCCAGGGGAAACTCTGATCCTCGGATCTAGCAGTGGCAGCGCTCCGGTGTCGTCCCGGCGCCGCCTTGAAGCCCACGGTTCGTCATATGCGGCTTCACCTCTTTGCGTAGTGCTAGGGATGGTGTTGCTGCGCTCAGCGCCTATGTATCATGCCTTGGGTGTGTGTGCGTCTGTTATGGAGGTGTGCGTTTGTACCAGGTGCTGTTGATCATTGCTTCATATATAAAGCGGGGCGAAAGCCTTTTCCTATAATAACCGACAAAAGGACTGCAATAAATGACCTCAACTACGTGCAACAACTAATGAAGAACAAAACGACCATACCCGCTTTCCTTTTGTATTAAATTTTTAATAGGTTAACACATAAGAGGGTGGTAGCATTACATAATTTCTCATCGTACCATGAGCATATCACCAAAAGATCATTTCTCCGCCACTTAGTCCACCAGCCACATGGAAGGCACAACAATGTAACACTATTACCCCCTCCACTGAGTCCACCGTCGACATGGAAGGCACAACAATCTAACTGTTACCTACTAATAAGGAAGGTGATAACCTTCTACAAAAGAAAAAAAACTGATATTTTGTGTAACTAACCGCCCAGGATTTAAGTATTAATCGTTTTTCCTGTCAACTACGAAGGCATATATGATGACTTCATCAATGTGCCGACTCAGTCTTTCAAAGGTACTTATAAGGATAAGGTGTGTGTATGTTCTTTTATAGGGCTGAGAGGATGTGCGTTTGTATGAGGGTCTGCGTCTGTCTGTACTGTGTGGCGTTTTTTCTTCCGTTGCAACACGCGAACCCTTTTGCTAGTGCAAGTTAATGACAAAAAGGTCCATCAACCTGCATATACCATGGACTTTTGATGTAGTGCATGAATATATGCAAGCATTAGGAGATTCGGGGAAAAGGAAAAGAGCAAAGTGGGTGCCCATGACAAGGAACTGCCTTGCCGGTGCACACAACCACCATCACCACAAAAAACAGACAAGGACGCTAATGGAGTGTGCCGTGGGAGGATATCACAATATCGAGACCTTGCAAGTTGGCACAGCACCACCCGCATACATGCAACTATCCCCATAACACAATACTGGGGTAAAGTCAATCAACAAGTGTCCGCGGCATTGACCCACAAGGTGCAAGCAATACAAATCGTGAGACCACCGATGAACATTAAGGAGCATTTTGCAAGATGGGGTGGGCTTCACCAACAAAGAGCAAAGATCAACTGAGAACGTAAGGGACACAAATCTCACCTCAACAAATTGAAGACCATGGGAAGGAGTTGAGCATGCACAGCAACAAAAAGTCAACGTCAGGAGCAACACAACGATGGACAGAGGGAGCAGATGGATGGCAGCGCATTGACACCAAAGGTGCCACCAGTAGCCGCCAATTGTCTCGCCGCAAACTTTTGTGAATCAGTTTAATACTACCTCTGTTCCAAAATTAGTGTCTCAACTTTGTACTAGCTTGTACTAAACTTAAGACACTTATTTTGGGGCGGAGGGAATAGTCTACTAGCTCATTTTTTGGGAAAATGGTTTTACTATTGCCCATACATGCACTCAAACTAAAGTTCAGGCGTATACGAGGCTATGAGCAGCTTAATCATGCGGTCACTCAAAGGAACTACAATCGATAACCTAAATCATCCCGGTGAAGAATTCGACAAGCAACCAAAAGTGGACGAACAGATAATCCAATGTGGCCGCGCTTGCATGCCTTATTACCATTTCAAGAATGGAAATGTCAAATGGAAGATCCCTGAAATGACAAATGTTGCATCCAACAATGACACAAAGTACTGAACCTACCGATGCCAGACTAAATGGTAAGCATACCCAATTAAAAGGGAGGCAGAGATGGGGGAAAGCGGACATGCATCCACTGCTTTTCATAAGCCGATACATGTGCCCATCCTATCTCCTCAATCAGCTGGATCTTCAGATCATATAACTTCTTCTTTGGTTGCTCAGAGTCCTCTTGAATCATGTCGTTTAGAACCTAACCCACCACAAAGATAGCTAACATTAAGCATGAATTCACAAGTAAAACAGAATCAGTAGGTTCTTTAATTCTTTACGAAAAATAAGATGCAAGTAACAAATTAAATATACTATGGTTTCATCAATGTTACATCCCGAATAGACCAGGCAGTTCAAACTCCCTCCGTTCACAAATCTTATATTTGTGAAAGGAGGGAGTATAATAGTAATAATATCCATCCCATATGTGCAAAGATTTGTCTGATAATGTGGCAGTGGAAATTATGTTGGTAGTACTGACATCAGAATACAGTTGAACCATAGCATGTTAGTTACAATGGAGCTTGATAAAAAATTTACTCACTATGAATAAGCAAACTGTACAAATGTTAATTTGATTAGCATAGGTTTATCAGCGAACTGAGAGAACAAAATGGGTTGTGGGAGTGAGACTTTATTGAGTGGTAAGACGTAAGAGTAATGGCTAATATTTTGTTGTTTTCATAACAATGACAAGTTGGCCATTGAAAATAATGGACATACCACTTGCTAAGCCAAGCAAAGCTAAGCTAACAACCATAGGCAATCAAAATACATGTGCGGACTAGATCCACTAAACAAGATAGTCACCAATGCCATATGTATTTACTTAAAATCTCTTGGGCACTCAGTCATAGAACTATTTGACAAAGTCAACCGTTCCTTTTCATTAAAGTTGTCATGACTGTCCCAATAAAAGCTGGAATCGCAACTGCAAATGCTAAGAATACAGGTAAGGGAACTGGTGCTTGGTAGGGAATATACCTTGAGTGCCGTGCCACATCTTCCACAGCGCCTCTCACGTAGAACGGTCAGAGTGCCGTATTTTGTAGATTTGGCATCAACCCATTTAATTAATTCTTTGTAATTCTCCTCAAAAACATCTTTAGCAGATGCCTCGGTTGACTCATCAGGCTGAAAGAAAGATATCTTCATAAGTAATACTACTTAATAATATACACACTAACACAAATACATGTTCTAGACTAGAGACTGCCAGTTGACAATGTACAAAGCTAAGACCAAGGTATGGTGCCCAAGCCAAGCCACCTACCAGACAAAGGCAAAGAGAATGAGGGGCTAAAAGGAGTAGTAGGTTGTTAGATATATGTTATACTCCCTCCATTCCCTTATACAAGGCCACTATGAAAAATACATTTTGCATCTATATAAGGCCACTAACAGTAACCGACGCAAATATTAATGATGTTTTCTCATACTACTAACTTGCTTAATACTTGCATGCATGTAGTCATAATGACACTATGCTACTTCCTTCCCATTCCTTCCTTGCATGCATGCAGGCGTATTAATGATCCCAGTTAACGAAAAGAAAAGTGGGCTTGCAAAGATGTCATTAAATTTTTCCTCTTCGAATAAACCTCGTAATCGTAAAAAAGTGGGTTTTTTAGTGCTGGGCCTAGCAAAAGAGAAATCGCCGTATACTAGGCCCTCCAACTTCTTAAGAGGTTTATCTAAAAGATTCGTGATATAACTAGGAAGACCTTTCAAATACCACACATGAGTTACGGGACATGCGAGTTTGATGTATCCCATTTGATATCTTCGTATCCGAGAATCCACAAATTCTACCCCGCATTTTTGGCAAAATCTTTCGTCTTCGTTTTCAGCTCCGCTCGCTCGAGAATCGCCACAAGCGCAAATCCCGCTTTTTATGGGTCCATTGGTATCTGTAATCTGAGTTTGTGCCTTGTATAAGGGAATGGAGGGAGTAGCTGTTTTAGGTGTCCATATACAACACCTGTATGTACTGTACTAGCAAGATGCCCGTGCATTGCAAGGAACATCAAGATGCATTTTTTTTACAAAACACCTGTTGTGATTGACCCATGCAGGAGTAATCCCATGTGTAAAAACTAATGATATCTCGAGAATTTCATCGAAAGAATGATATATCGAGAAAGATGTGAGATAAGGTGAGGAGGAGTGGGGCGCGGTGGTGATTTGTGGTCGGACTTAGCAAAGGCATGGGGATGAACGATGCCGGCAGCGGCCAC